GTTAAAGATTTATAGAACATCTCCAACATATATACTATATACCTTCTCTCTTTTATTCTAAATTAGGAGATTACTCTTTCTTTTTCTATTTTTTTTTCTTTATTTTAAAATAGTCCTTGAAACAAAAAAATTACATATCTTTAAAATTTATAAAATAATATAGCTATTAGAGATGCTCTAATCTCTCTCCTCCTTTTTATATTTTAACATACAAGATGACATCGTTGTTAAAACAAAAATTATCAAAATCTTTTTCAATCAATTTTAACATAATCGTTAAAGATGCTCTACGTTTAAATACAAATTTTAATCGAATTCAAATTTAAACAAACTCATACAATTAACATTGCACATAAAAATTGTATTTCATGGAGCTCTTCCTTTCTCTAAGAGGTTTGGTCGAACTTTGGGGGGGCTGTCCATTCATAAAATATCTTTTGTCAGGGTTGAAAAAAGAAAGGGGTTGTTTATCAAACACTTATCCGGTAAGCATTTATCGGTAAAATTTAACACTATCATTTACTTACTACGTAAGATTTTAGTCTACCAAAACAGTATCATATTCAACAATTTACCCGATAAGCTTACCGTGGTAAGAGTCGTCGCCTTCACTTACCGGGTAAGACTCTTGGTCCTTGTGTCGTTCTTACCGGGTAAGACTCTTGGTCATTTTGTCGTTCTTACCGGATAAGACTCTTGGTCCTTACCATATTCATTCGGTAAGGTAACGTGGCTTAATGTTCATTCACCCGAGTAAGCATTTGGTAAACAACCCCGAAGATAAAATTCTTGAATTTTTTATTAATTAATACTAAAAATGATAAATGTATTTTCGATTATTTTTTTCTCTAATTTTCACATAGTTTGTTGTTTCTGGCATATCAAATATATTAACTATTTTTATCATAAAATTAATATTAGAATTTTTATTTATTAATACTAAAAAATTGAGTTTTTATTACTTATATAATTCGAAAGAAATTATAAATTTGTTAGAGATGTTTTTAGCATGGCATCTTTAATTATGTTAAAACAAACACATGGTTGGTTGGTAGCTAGGGCCGACCTGGTTTGTTAAATACGATGGCACGTGCAATTGTTACCTTCCTTTTTCGTGAGCTAAAATATTAGACTTGTGAAAAATGGAACCGTATTATAGTGTTGGTTGTCATCAATATATATATATATATATATATATATATATATATTGAAACTATACTGATAATAATACAAGTTTGTCTTAGCAGAATTGGTTTGGACGACTTTTCTCCATCCCAGGTGCGGGTTCAAATCTTGTTTCAATCGGTTATTTAGTTTTTAACTGTTAGTTTTAGGTTTATTATATTTATGAAAAACATTCCGATAAAAGATTTGAACACATGACCTCGCATACAAAAATGAAGAAGCTAACCAACAATCCAAAGATGATTTTTTTAAAGAAATATGCATATCTTCCTTTTTATAGTCAAATGGTGTCGTCGTTCGAAAAAGTTCCTAGTTCTGCCTCGTGGAGAGTTCGATCCTGGCTGAGGATGAATGTTGGAGGCATGGATCATGGAATTGGCAGCATGATTCTAAATAACTCGTTATGGCGCAAGACTTGACTTTGACACTACATTAAACCATGTGACTTCACTATAAGGATTGACTTCTATTGTAACACATTATGGCATGTTATCAACACGTTATGGAACGTTACGATGCATTATTTTGTAAGTCATTTTTTTTTACTTTTTAAAACATATAACTTTGGGGTAAATGATAATTATGTACGACACAAAAAGGAAACAAAAAACCCTAAATAGGTAATTTTTTACTTTCATTCTCGTATACAAAGAGTCGAACATGAATTTTTTGAAGATTGAAAAAAGAAGCGAGTAGAGACTCAAAAGGTTTAGTCTCATTTCTGCACTCTTAATATCATTTCTAGTAAATTTGGTAACTTTGATATAAATGGTTCTTCTTTTCATTGTAATTTTATTACTTTATATGAATTTAAAATGTTTTATGTGATTATTTTGAACACTAATTATATATATGTGTGTATGTATATGTATACATATGTCACCTTAGGACACTCTTCAGAAAACGTCATGACATCACTGTAACGTGTAAGGCTTGAGGCATGACCATGCTGCCACGTCAAGTTACGTCTCACATCATTTAGAACCTTGGTTGGCAACCATTTTCAATTCATCATGGAGTTTATAAAATTATAGCCTTAAATCCATGGCATTCAAATTTAAAAAATTGGTATCTTTGTAGCAACAAATCTGAAGTTGTTTTTTTGGTTTTTTGTTCTTGCTATTCTTGATTAACATTGTGTTCACAATTAGTAATAAATAACAAGTGGTCACGATGTTCGATTAAAACATTATATTTGATAGTGGTTCACATTGTGATACTATAGGTTTTTGATTTTGGTTTCACCGGTGATGCTTGACGGATATTGAAATTTGATTATCGAGTTGTTGACAACGTGTATCCAAAGTCTTACACAATGTTTTTAGTATTTGTAGTTTTTTTAGTTTTTTGTTCTTGATGTTTTCAAATTCACAATGTATATAATAACAATATATGGTTGGAAACCATTATATGTTCTCGTATGAAAGTGGGATCACAAATGATATGCATACAGTATACAATTCACAAAATGATGTATAAAGGAACTGGACGATAGAACATACTTCTATCACGAGTGATAATTGGTAGATGACCATTTTCAGTGGAATCTTTGTAAGCTACAAATCATATATGAGGCACTTGAAAGTACCAAACTCATGTTCGTTAGAGTGAATTGGAAAACATGATGTTAAGTCAACCTCAATCAATACATTAGATCAGCAACAAATTGAAACAGATCTATAGAATGCTAAAAGCTACGCGAGTTAGATAGGGAAGTTATATGGATGAGTGGCATAAGTGGATTGATATCCAGGTCATTAAGATAATGATATAACTTGTAACACCCCTAATAGGAGTAAATTTAAACCAAAAGTCGGTACAAAAATAAGGCCTATAAAATAAAAAATACCCAAAAAAGGGAAATAGTATAGTGTTTACAACCCAAAGATGTGGGAGGATAAATAAGAACCTATTAATATAAACTACACTAAGTTTAGATTATAGAAGGGTGTCACTCTCATCTTCAAAAGAATCTTATCAAAGTATAACACTGATTAAGCCAAAAGCAAATAATCCCAAAAATGCCTTTACTAGCATCCAAACATTCTGCTTAAGACTTTGGAGCTCCACCGCTAAGTAAACCTGATATAAGTGTCATCATAACGCCTAGTGATATCAAATATTTATAAATAAAACAGATAACCAAAAACGATAGAAATTTATAAGTTTAAAATTTTAAAACCCAAATAAATATAGTCCACAAAGGCCATAAGGCCCAAAACATATCTTACAATGATGAGGGAGACTCGATCTCTATGGGTAGTGGTGAAAGACAAAAGTAGACCACAGTTTCATGTTATAGAGCTCACACTAAAGATCAACAGCCAAGGAGTTCAACCAATCGTGATTTACAAGAAGAGTAAATGAGAGGAACTTTAAGAAGTCCCGACTTAAATGCCTATAGTCAATGCGACCCTACCATGCGACCCTGGGGTTGTGGCATAAGGGACGCCCACATCCTTCACTCAATCTGTGGTATAAGAAATGTGACCTTAGCCTTGCAATGCAAGGGTCGCGATCACGAGGGTTTAGCCAAAAACCTCCACTTACAATATATGGAATGCGACCCTGGCCTTGCGATGCAAGGATCACGGCACAAGGGTCGCATGACCCATTTAGAGGCCTGAAATGCTTCATTTAAATCTCGTTTTAATGACTAAATCACAAGGCTTAAACTACCAATATAGAAACTAGACATACAAATCTAAATAACGAGTGTAACCGTGATTAAGGCTTGATCAGAATCTAATAGAGGAACATGAAAAATTTATGACAAACATGAGTGTTTATGAGGATGAAAATTCCTTTAAAGAAAATTGAAGTCAATGAAAAATTTGGTATAATAGAGGAACCCATAAAGGATTGTAGAACTCTCAATCTATAATATGAGAAACCATAAAGTTATAATGGTAATAGTACAATGAAAAAATTCAAAGGAACAAAGCTCTCAGTGCATACCAATTACAGATATGAAAGGTACATTTTCTGATATTTCATTTACTTAAATATATTAATTAAAGTGTATTTTAATAGTAAATTTTAAAAAACGTAATCATATATTTGTGTAAAGAAGATATATATATATATATATAAAATATATTTTTTATGATCGGGCTGGACCTAGATTGGTCATAAGATTTTTGATCGGGTTGGGACCGATTAAGGACCGGTCCACCTCGACCCGATAGCAATTTTTGACCACCTTAAGTGATGTTATTATATATGTATATATTTAACAATTAAGTTTACTAATTATGGCTAACTAAAACAAATCAAACCATTTTAAAGAGTATAAAAATAGAATTACTACAATCCCATAAGCATACTAAATCCACAAGCTTGAAGCGGACCGATCGAAACCCGTATATTTGGTTTCGGTTCTAATTCTAGTTTTAGTTTTAGTTCTGGTTTTGGTTCATTATTTTCAAATTTAATACATGTTTTTAATTGAAACCCGAATTAATATTCATTTCAATGATCAGTTTGGAGCCTAACCAATTTAGATTCTTACCTTTTTTTTTTTTTTACTCCATTTATTTTGAATATATTTTCTCTTGTTTTTTTAATACTCTAAAGTTTCGAGATATGGTGAACAAGATAACTATGAAACTATAAATATGAAATATTTGTTTGAAAATGTAATTTACATAATTATAAAATCATATATAAAATTCAATCGGGATACATGCAATGCAAAGGGGGGAAAAGACGTAAAGATCATCCCCCTTTCTTTCTGTTTTTTCCTGCAAAATCTCACCTCCCATTCTGCCTTCCCCCTTGGAGGCAGCAAATGGGATCGATGATCCTCCACATCCATGGCGATCCTTCTTGTTTTCTTTTTAACCATTATCACCACCGTCTCCGCCATTCCCACCACCGCCCCTGCCAAATCTGATTCATTTACTCCTCCCGATAACTACCTCCTAGATTGTGGTTCCTCCTCTCAAACCACCCTCCCTGACAGACGTATATTCTCCTCTGATTCAACTTCTTCACAATATTTGAAATACGGTGGCCGTGAAATTGCGATTGTTGATCAATCTGCCGATGTGCCTCTCCCAATTTACAAATCTGCCAAGGTTTTCGATGCTGAAGCCACGTATTCCTTTCATATCACCAATACCGGTTGGCATTGGGTGAGGTTGCATTTCTTTCCCATCCGGAATAACGAGTTCAAATTACAGCAGACCAAGTTTACGGTGGTCGCTGCCGACAGTTTGGTCCTCCTCCATGAATATGGTCCCAAAGAAATGGAAATGCAGGAGTACCTTATGAATGTGACATCAGAGCGTCTAAATCTTAGGTTCTCGGCCAACAAGGATTCTCCGGCTTTCATCAATGCGATTGAGGTGGTTTCTGCTCCTGATATGTTGATTACAGATAACAGCGATGCTCTCTTCCCTGTCGGTCAAAAGGTTGATGGAATGACCAAATACTCGTTCCAGAAGATGTATCGGCTGAATGTTGGCGGTCCTACAATCGGTCCAGGAAATGATACCCTCGGGCGAACATGGAATTCTGATGAGAAATTCCTCAAGTCTGCTGCAATGGCGAAAAATGTCTCAATCGCACCCAGTGTTGTTACATATCTCGAGGGTGGTTCACCCTTGATTGCACCGCCGACGGTGTACGCATCCCTAATGGAAATGGGGGCTTCCGATACAATTGCACCAAATTTTAACATCACTTGGGAATTTGACCTCGATCATGCCTATCCACATCTTGTTCGTTTGCATTTTTGCGACATTATCAGCAAATCGCTAAACGAACTATATTTCAATGTGTATGTTGGCGGCAAAATCGCGATCTCGGCCTTAGATTTGTCGACGGTGGCCAACGGTTTAGCAGTCGCTTACTACAAAGATGTTTTTGTGAAAGCAAATATGGTTTCGAAGCCGTTTTTGGTTCAAGTAGGCCCATTAAACGAACCAATGGGAACCAAAAATGCCATCCTAAATGGTCTTGAGATCTTGAGAATGAACAATTTGGTGAATAGCTTAGATGGGGAGTTTGGAGCTGACGGGAGGTCGACATATGGTCCAAGCAGGGGCACGGTGGCAGCTGTTGGGTTCGCGATGATGTTTGGAGCCTTTGCTGGATTGGGTGCGATGGCTGTGAAATGGCAAAAGAGGCCTCAAGATTGGCAGAAGAAGAATAGTTTCTCTTCATGGTTGCTTCCACTTCACGCTGGCGATGCAAGTTATACGCAATCAAGCAAGACCTCATTGGGCTCGAAAAAGAGCGCTTTCCATTCATCGACTATGGGGTTGGGTCGGTACCTTTCGTTTTCCGAGTTACAAGATGCTACAAAGAATTGGGATTCTAATTCTGTGGTTGGTGTCGGAGGTTTCGGCAATGTGTACTTTGGAGTACTTGATGACGGTACAAAAGTCGCCGTGAAACGCGGTAATCCACAATCCGAACAAGGCATAAATGAGTTCCAAACGGAGCTCCAAATGTTGTCAAAACTTCGCCATCGTCATTTGGTGTCACTAATAGGGTACTGTGACGAGAATTCTGAAATGATCCTCGTGTATGAGTACATGGAACATGGGCCTCTCAGAGACCACTTGTATGGAAAAAACTTGCCCACATTGTCATGGAATCAAAGATTAGAGATTTGCATTGGGGCTGCCCGTGGGCTACACTACCTTCACACTGGGGCAGCTACTGCCATCATCCATCGTGATGTGAAGACCACCAACATTTTGTTGGACGAGAACTTCATCGCTAAGATGGCAGATTTTGGGCTCTCGAAAGACGTAGGGATGGGAGAAGCCCATGTGAGCACTGCAGTTAAAGGAAGCTTCGGATACTTAGACCCTGAATACTTCCGTAAACAACAATTGACGGATAAGTCTGACGTCTACTCCTTTGGGGTGGTATTGCTCGAAGTGTTATGTGCGAGGGCAGCCATCAACCCGTCCCTACCTAGAGAACAAGTGAATTTGGCGGAATGGGCTTTGCAATGGAAGCGAAGAGGTCTATTGGATAAAATCATAGACCCTTCCTTGGTAGACCAAATCAAACCCGAGTCATTGAACACGTTTGCAGAAGCAGCCGAGAAATGCTTGTCCGAATACGGGGTTGACAGACCTACCATGGGAGATGTGTTGTGGAACTTGGAGTATGCATTGCAACTACAAGACCAAGGAAAAACAGAGGATGGAGGTAGTGGGTTGGCATTGGCGAATGGCGCTCCACTTGCTCCCACCGTTGATAATAGACCTGTCATAACGCAAGCTCAAGGCAACCAAAATTCTGCCCAAGTCCAGATCATTGAAGAGCATTCTGGAACTGCTATGCTTGCACAATTTGCAAATCTCAACGGTCGATAAAACATTTCAATAGCTAGAAGATACCAATAGACAATTTTCATTTTTAATGTCATCTTTTACGAATATGATAGATACTAGTGTAGTAGCATGATAGTCAAAGAATGAGCTTAATTAGTTGGTATAAATGTACATATAGCTTTTTCTAATAGGAAAAATGAAAAAGGACTTCAGATTGTGCATTTAAAGCTAGTGCCATTTAAACCTTTTCTTATGCAAATTATAAAATGTTACAGTTTTAATGCAATATTTTGTTAAAATATAATTATAACACAATTGGTTTTATAAGATGTTTAAAATATTTAAGCGTCATAATAAAATACTTTGTAAGACTTAAGTTTATTGGAATAAACCAAAAAACATCCTATTTAAAATGTTACAACAAGTTTATAAGACTTTTTAACAAGTTTTTAGAACGCTTTTGTATTAGCTATTTTATACAACACCAGTTGAAAATGTCCTATAAACACAAGTGTCCTATAAAAAAATGTACCTTATGTGTGTATATATATACATATGTGTGTGTGTGTGGGTGGGTGGGAGAGAGAGAGAGAGATATGCATAAATTATCATTACAAAAAGTTGTACCTTTAATGGCAAACGTATCCGTCGATACTCCATCTTAAAATTTGCACAAGTCAGGTTATCGATAGACTTCCGAAAATGGATCAATAGGTTCCCGACAACCCAAGTTACCACAGATGTATGACAGATGACGTTACTAACCCAGTTTATTGATGGATATTTGTAGCCTTGATTACCGATTAACTGCTGGCACCTTTCATCATATCACTGTCAAAAGTCTTCTTGATGACACCTGGTTACCAACATAGTTTGTAATATGTAAGCAATTTTTGCATTTAAAAACTATTTTGTACATAGTTATTACAGAAAAAATATACTCAATTTTATTTAAATTATTAAATTAAAAATTATAGCATGGCCTAGTACGATATCAAGTAAGAAGTAACACTTGTGATTTCTTTGCCTTTGTTTGGAGCATTTTTGCGACCATTTGGCGTTCAAGATGGTGAGAAAACCAGGTTTTTATATAATCAATGTTGTTGTTTTCATTGATGTTCTTATAGTAATGTTTATGCATTAATGGTTAATATTTATGTATTGAAAGACAAATTGCCATTTAGTATTCAAACAACAAACCTTTTGGTAAACAAATACATTTACTTACTTAAATCATAGTAAAAGATACGTAGTCTTGTGTAGTATTCGGTTGATACAGACCGCAATTGGTTGTCCAACTAAGAGATTTTCGACGACTACCTGAAGTTCCGGGTGTCAGCCTAGGAGCTGGCATCAGACATAGACAATTATAACAAAAATGTCCATTCTGGTGGCGTCGATTGCAAGTTTTTACAATTGGTTCCTCATCTCGTGACGGGATACAGTCGCGGTTTCATGGTCTGTCAGAGTTTTGTATGTCCATGAGAGATGGTAGGACAGTCATACGTTCTTTGGGCAACACGTATTCAACTTCTGGTGGCTTACTTCCTCCTCGTATGTTGCCCGATAAGAATCATAGTTGAACCAGAACGAACAAAATTGGTTGCAATCTTAAATATCTAAACTTCTAGCAACCAAGACTACAAGGTATACCAAAAAGTTTCCATTTCATGCATTTACAAGTCTTAGCATGCAAATCACACTTTCCGTTCTTATACCTGTCATTAACTTAAAACAACAACTCGGTAATGAGAAATACCCTCCATGTTGCACTCATATGGATTCTTTTTTATAATCTTTGCCTCCGCGTAAGATGTGACTACATTTATCATTTGCGGCTGCAAAAAAATAATAACACTAGCCTATGTTATAGCCTATGTTATAAAATTTCAAATATAAATTTACCTCCGTTATGTTGTCGTATAAAATATCGTTGTTGCAATGTTGTCCGATAAAATTCAACTAACATTGTTATCGGTAGGTAACGTACAAACCGAGTTACTAAATTGACGAACTCGGCACTATTGGAAGTCATTGCACTATACCGCAATCCAGGGAAGTGCGATCTTACCCATCTAGCGTAACCAACTTTCTCAAGAAATTAAGCGGCCTTAGGTAGACTTTGCTGCATCAAATCTATTGTAATTTCAAAGTTGACACCCTATAAGCTTTGCATGCCTCCTAGAACATCCACCTTTTTCTTTTGTTTCTATTTGAGGTTAGGCACCAGTTCTGGCTCAAATGCCGACAACAAAGTATGTGATGCGCATTGGGGAATACCATTCAAATGGTCAACTCAATAGAAGCAGCCCAATCGGTGATTGTGTCAATTTATATAAAAACCATGTCCATGACGGACCACTTTCTGTCTTTCCACTCCCATTGCAATGGGTACGATATGGTTGTTTCCATCCATGCCAACTACTAAGAACATGATGCCTACGTATGGCCCCTTCAGATGAGCACCGTCCATTATAAAGAGCGGTCGTAGGTGTCCTAGAAACGGGCGGATCTGTAGATGAACGAGGCTACACATATAAACTTAAAACCATAAAATTAAATTATGAATTCAAACAATATAATGAAAATTATTACCGAACAACCAAGTAAAACAAACAACATATTGAATCGTCCTAACAAATCAAGGGAGATATTAGTCACAGTCCCCGGATTCGCTATCTTAGATTGTGACAATAAACCAAGAGTAGGTTAAACGAAGATTCATGGGTCACCCTCAACAGTTGTAAGGCATACATATTTGCTCTTCATACTTGGTTGTAGGATATGTAATATTGAACCATTGGTTCACATCATCCCTGATTTCTTTTCCACGGTAGACTCTCTGACAGTATTTCAAACTCGTTGCCAATATATGACCCAAAACCTTTTTATTTGCATTACGGTGGTTTGGGTGTGTTAGCCCAGATTCAAGTCACAATTACACAATTTAATCAAGATCATGAGCACATATTTATAAATGAATATGTCGCATGGCATTGATGTTCTTGGAATACTATATGTTCTTGATACAAGATGTCTCTCAAAGATTCTCTCTCACGGCTTTTTGGCTGGATTAAGAATCTCACAAAGTACTAAGAAACAAAACTTACAAGCCACTATTTATACTACATGATTACAGAGAAGCAAACTATTTACAAAGCATTAAGACTACAATACAAAGCAATGTAAAACAACTTTAGCACAAGGACTTGAATACAATAATTTTATCCCAACAGGGTGGACTTGGGACCTTGAACAAATGTGTTCATCATGCAATTTCGAAACCTGAAACATACTGGTACCATCGATTTAAACTACCATTAAACGCCAATCATAGTTTGAGAAGTGACACACTGCCTCGTAGTGGTATTTCAATGCTTCATTTGAGTCAAAGGTTTGTAGAACTTTTACAGGTGATGTAGGCTGGTAGGGAAGGTTTCTTTTAGGTTTGATAACGGGGGCAGGGCAAGGTGTTGGGTCGGGCATACCCTAAAAACTATTATTTACCGAATAGGTTTCTTCATCATCTGAGTTATCGTCTTCGAGTATATTTAAAATTTTTGTTGCAACAGAAATGTTTTCATCCTTATTTACCTCCCACAGTGTTGACAGTTTCGGAGACTGGTCCGGAGACTAGTTTAGTTTAGGGAGTGGTTCAAATCTTGAACAAAAAAATTATCATGATCAAAATCATTTATCGGTTCCAAAACCTCAGTCAGTTGGGTTTGATACCATTTCTTTGCTATTTGATACCGACAACATTGTAAGTATGGACGCCACTACAACCAAGAAAAAAACTACCGGTTTGATTGATTAAGGCAACAAAATATGGATTTCTACCACTATCACCCAGAAAGAAACTGTTCGGTGGATTGATTGATTTTGGTAGAACCATAGGGATTTCCACCACTACCACCGGGGTAAAAAGTATCTATTTAATTGATTTTAGAAGGATTGTATGGGTTTAAACCACTACCACCGAAGAAAACATACATGGTAGGGGTGGTTTTTGTGGTCATTTTGTGAGAAATGTCTGAAAAATGGTCATTTTGTTAGTGTACTATGTATACAATGGTAATTTTGGGTAATTTCCAATGCATATCGGAACACCACCCTGTAATCTGCAAGAACCTTTGGTAATATCATAGCTAGGGTTTTTAATGTATGTCTTTGACCATTTTAGGTTTTATAGGTTTCGAATCTTTTTAGTTTCTCTGGCTTATAAAATCTATAAAAAAAATTCACTCCATTTCTTAAAATAATTAAAAAGACAGGTGATTTTAGCATAACTTATAAAACATGGATCGTTTATTATCACCTCAATAAAATAAGAATCTTAAAAAAAACTGTGTACAACGAAAATTCTTATAAAAACCTTACTTCCCAATTTTTTATTTATAAAATATAAATTTATTTATAGAGTTTATATAAATGAATATATATATATATATATATATATTATTAAAAATTCAAATATAACTTATTAAATTTCACTTTTCTATATCAATTTTTAATTTATTAAAATTTATATTTTTTGTTAACAAAACACTTAAAACATAAATATAATCTTATATTAATATTATAAATAGTCAACATTATACAAATATTATTTTTCATAAAAAAGTAACATTAAACAATAATTAGTAATATAGATCATAACCAAAAAAAAGGGAAATGAATTGGTAGTAATTAAATTTCAAGGACTTATAGTGTAAATGCAATCAAAGTGATGGGTTTAGACCCTAAAATTGAATATAATTCATGACATGAAACTCAATGGTCATGAAACCTCCGACCATTTATCATGGTCTCATCGCTTCCTCTTCCGTAAAACCGAATGGCTTAGTATAAAACGAGAGGTTGTAGCTTATGTGAAGTTTGGTCAAGAAGGAGAACTATTGTGCGCAAAGGCGACGGTGGATGCTGTAATGAGAGTTGACGGTGCTTTACATCTTAGTTAGTTTGGCTCCAATCGGTAAGCGTTTTGTACCTGTCGTCTTTAAATTCTGGTTACTAGATAATCTCACTTATTCGGGTAGGTTTTCGTAGGGTAACGGTGGCCAACAGCCATCGCTAGCACCTCTACCATTCTTCACAATGGTAATTTTGGTGACACCAGGTTGTTAAATTGTGACCCTCGTTTCGATTCTAAAAAATATAATTTGTGATACATGTGTGTATCAGTCAAAATATTTATATAACAGATGGCCGACGTTTAACCGCTGTGATGGATTGAATGGTACCTTAAGAACTCGTTGTTTTTGCAAATTCCTTAGGCATTGATCAAACGTTCGGTGGTGATCGTGCTTGAAAGAAAGAGATAAAAATAAATCGAAACAATATGTATCAGAGATGTGGTTCACGGTAAAACATATAGTGTACACATTTCATACATGCATGCGTAAGCCATAAGATCATGAATAGTTAGTACACACATATATATTGCACAAACTGTTAATTGATATAAATATATATATATATATATATATATGTGTCTATATATGTGTGTATAAATTGTTTATTGTAAAAGTTGTTGTTCGTGCATGAAAACCATAGATTCACTGGACTTTAGGCTCACCCAAACTCTTTCAAAATTTTCATCTTGACGGCTATTAAACTAGAAAGAGAAGTGGAATAAAGAGATATATAAGGATTAGATCCAAAGAAGAATATGTGTGGATCAAGGCGTTGTTATATAGAGCAATATTCGTCAAGATTCTAATGTTAGATGGTGATATAATTTATAAGATTAGATATTTTATTTCCGCTGCAATGTAAGTATTTGATCTTGGGATACTAGTTTTGTTATATGGAAATATTCAAAAAATTTGGGATGTTACAACTCGTAATCTCAATTCGACTAAATATATTCAATCAAGTCGGAGTAGAGTTGATGATGAACTTTATTTGAGCGCATATTAGAATGTCATTAAAGATATTCTTGGAATTTATGGGTAGAATGTTGGAAATATTTGTATTGAATTATTTATTTCTTTGTCGATCCAATATATCAACATGTCACCTTCATCTTCAACAATCATATCATGGAAAATTTTGTATATATGTATTAATATCTTTAACTCTTCCTTATAACACAATTATTAATTTACAATTTCTAAATTAATTTTAATTATATATATATATAATATATATAGAGAGAGAGAGAAAAAAAAAGAGGGGGAGGGAGGGAAGATCAAATAAGAACAATACTTATTTAAAATAACACGAAAATGGACGAATCACAGGTAATATTATTTTAAATATCACATACAAAATTACATGTGATTCAGTTCACCTTGCAACGGCGACCTGGAGACATAACCACAAGACGTCCGAACATTTTTTTTGACCATTAATGTAAAATCACATGTGACTTTACATGTGATTTGTCTGTTTTCATATGTACCGTTTTTGTTTGATCTTGCCCCCCTTTCTCTCTCTCTCTCTCTCTCTCTCTCTCTCTATATATATATATATATATATATTAAATAATTTGATTATAATAATATAATGAGATAATTAAAAGTTAAACTTATTAAATATAAAAACTTGTATAAAATTACAAGAAACTAAAAATAAACCAAAATTTTAAAAATTACTTTATATTAATTATTTTATATTATTTTGTATAATTTTAACTTATTTGTTTTACATATATTTAAAAAAACTGGTTAAGAAACAATAAAAATAATAAATAACTAACAAAAAAAAGTAACGTATACAAGAACTAGGTTATTATCTTAAACTTGTTATGAAACGACAGTTTGCAAGTATTTAATGTTTTTATGACTTTTGTATCAAATATAATAATAAATATGTACATATGTACATATTTATTTAACTTATATTCTATATGGGACTCATAAAATGGGTTCTTATAAAAACTATCATTACGGAGTTTATGTATGTTATTTATCGGGAGAAGTTCAAAAAATCTAACAAACTTTTCAATTTTAAACGATTAAATCCTTAAACTATTTTTTGAGTGAAAAAACTATTACACTTTCTCATTTTTTATGATTAGGTTCTTGAATATTTTTTTTTAATAAATAAACTATCAAACTTAAAAAAATTGGTCATCTATATCGTTTTAACAAAAAAATGTTACATGTAACCGACTCACAATGATTTAAAGTAAAAAAAAAACATAAATTAGATTTACCATTTCCAAACCCTAAGTCATTCGAACCCTTCAAAAACAGAAAATACAATAAAAAAATGAGATCGAGAACAGGAGCCAACAACAGTGATGAGCGGTGATAGAGAGTAGACAATGATGAGGCAACGAGTGGTTTGAATGACATAGGGATGAGAACGGTAATACCGATTTAAGTTTTTTTTTTCTACTTTAAAATATTATAGCAATTTTATGTATATTTTTTTGAGTTAAAAGAATGTTAGTAACCAATTTTTAAAAATTCGAAGATTTATTTTATTCAACAGAAAATTCAATAACTTAATCATTCAAAAAATAAGTTTGGGGATTAAACCATTCAAAATTAGAAAATTTTGATGGTTTTTCATTAAAAAAAAAATAGTTTACAGCCTAAATCATTCAAAATGAAAAAATCGTTGGGGTTTTTTAGACTTTTCCCTCGACAAGTTAGAAACGATTTCATATGGGTTTAGTAATTTTACCGAAATTGATGGTGTTGGATAAGAGTTGATGGACAATTAAAGAAGCAAGTCAAACTCTATTAACATAGATAAATATTTGGTGACAGACAAATCATCGGTTAATTACAAACATTTCTTTAATCTGTGTTATTAAAATGAGTTGCAGATGTTAAAAAAGTATTTTAATTATATTTTTTGGGATTAATTAATTAATTATAATATATAGCAATCAATGCTTTTTTGATCAAAGACGCGTAACTGATGAAAATGACGTGAAATGTTTGTGATTTATTTTATATATTAAAGTATTAGATTATGGTTATTTGATTGAATTTAGAAATATTCGAGATCTCTACGTTAATCATACTGCATACTGCTGTGGATGGATCATTCAGAGTTGGTGCATGGTGGATGATGTTTTTGGATGTATTCAAGCGAGTTGGAAATTTTTAAATATTAATCAAGAAAATACAAACATTCTTAATTCATATAAAAATTAATAATTAAAGTATTGATCAGACCTCTACCATCATCGAATATTGCATTTACCTGCCATTAATTCACATTCACATTCTCAATTTTCATTTTTATTGTTATTGTGTTTGTTCGGCTTTCTTTCGGTTAAGCTTAACCTTCAACGGAAACAAGCTTTAATGCCCTTTTGATCCATCTTCAACATGAGAGTTGGTCACCATAAAATACAGAACCTTATGCATGTGCTCGGATCTTTTACCGAACCTCTTGCAATTAGGTTATAGTGATCGAAGAAATAGAATGTGAACGTAACCACATTTGACATCTCGGAATGATAAGACATGAAGCCTTCTTTTCGGCTAAAGAAGTCTTAATTCGGGCTCAGCAAATTAGCTAGGTGGTGTACCCTACCGACAATGGCTCTAGCACGCTAATATGTTGATAATTGACCAAGTTGAATCTAAACCGCCTACCTATGTTTCAAATTAAATATATAAATGTTTGAATTTTAAGATATTTTTGATATACCAGTTGATAAGTTAGTTTTTGCTTAATAAGTTAGCTCTGTATTAGATAAAAACTAAATGATAAGTTAGATGACATTGTAAAACAATTTAAAAAGATGTGAAAAAGTTACTCAATTAACATAACACATAATTGGAAATAAACAGATAAAAACCCTTTAGTTTGTCAGGAAACAACTATCTAAATTAAACTTTTCAACTATCTTATCATAACCAATACCATCAATCAATATCATATATTGGCTTTATGTGTATTCCATTTCAGGGAACGTAAAGATTTTAGCAAGAATGGAGGTAGAGTGGACAATTTCACGAGTTACATAGTGCAATTTATTTATCCTATTCATTCAATTCGTTTGATTTACATGTGGTTTATAATAAGACTGTGTAACTATATATTAATCAAATAATTATTAATAAGACAAGGGTAATAAAACTTGTATACCAAAATCAATATCATAAATACCTTGTAATTACTGTTTGTTAACTGATAAATAAATAAATTCGGAATGTGATCTTATTGAAATGCCCTTGAGTCTTGTCTTAACATATATATATATATATATATATATATATATATACACACACACATATATATATATATAGGGTTGTTCACGTAAGACCAAGGGTTTTTCGTGAGACTTGTAAGACCAATTTATAAGATAAAATTTTATGCAATGATATATACTCATAATATCTTGCGACTCTTTTGAATCTTGATTACATTATATAGGTATGTGTGGGTAATAAATTAATTAAGGAACATGACAAGAATATTATCAATGGTATTGCACCTACACATGAAAGACAATCATTCCCAAATATATATATATAACGTACCTTCCCTTCATCACAAGAGTCAAAGATTTTAGAAGATAGATTCAAAAAAGATGGAGTTGTTTTCACTCTTCCCTCATACTACTAATTCATTATCCAGAGCATTTATTTAAAGCGATCTAGATAAAAAGAAAAATAAAAAAAATCTACGTTTATTGAAGGTAAAGTTTGGAAATAGAAGTTATTCATGTTGCATCTCATTGGTTTTGTTGAAAGATTCTGTTTGAATTGAAATCAGGTCATTCATTATGACCCGCTAATCATCTATGATTGAATGATTAAAACGTGCAACTTATAATTGACAAAATATGATAAAAGAATCAATCAAAAAGGACCCTGTGATTTCAATTACAAATTCATTGGAATGCTAGTTATATGCTTAACACATTCAAGTCGAAGGTTGTTTATCGGAGAGATTTTAGATTCTAATGTGACTCGTTTCGGTTCAATTCCAAACAACTCCCATGCTACTAAGATAGTTACAAATTCCTTAGCACTGCATAAAAGTACTACTCCTATAGCAGTTGTTAATACGAATAAGAAAAACACTATTATAGCTATATATGTACATTCAAGGTACCCCTGTAAATTGATGATGGTTAACGAATACAATTGTTTCATTAACTTTGTCATTCTAATTAATAATCAAAGTAATTGACAAGAAAAAGATCATCAAATGGTTAACATAAGAAACAGAAAAAGATTCAAGATTGTCAAATTTCTGCGTCATTAACTTGTGGGCAAAGAAAGTATGCATGGATTAATTGTATTACTTTCCTTGTTGGAGAATTCATCTAGCTAACCTCAGCTCAAGATCCACCTGATCTTCCATGGAGCCCATGAACAGTGGCGAAACCACGGTCTTTTGCCTCTTGCAGTTCATAACTTCAACGTCACAACCATCAAACCCTAAATACAAATTTGTTTCAACAGGTCCAAGTACCAAAACTTCATCACAAACACAACTCTTTGCATCTGAAGGGCTACCGACGGTGGTATTTTCTTGACATAATATTGGTATTGAAGAAACCATAGAAGACGAAACAGGTGAAGGGAAGAAACTAGGGTTCGAAGATTCCAATAAAGATTTAGAGAAACCCTGCTGGCTATTAGGGTTTTGTTGTGTACCATTTAGAGACTGCTTAAGTTTAGCTCTCTCCCTCCTGTGAACATTCATATGACCACCTAGGGCTTGAGCTGACCTGAACTCTCTTCTACAGAAGCTACAAGAATAAGATCTGGGAGGCCATACGAATCCACCTAGGGGACCTCGAGCATCCTCAGCGAAAGCTTGTTCTTCCCATGAGTGGCTAAATGAGTTCTTGAGGATACTGTTCTTGCTCTTCACCCACATCAAATACTGTGAGTATTGCTCCATTGATATATCTTACAACTTTTCAGATTTTCAAACTTGTTTGAAGTTGAGAGAAATATATGTCTAAGACAGTGGTCAATTTTACTTTCTGCTTAAAAGGATAGTCATACATATACACATAGCTCTGATGAGAGAGAATCTAGAGAGAGAAAAGGGTAGTTTTAGAAAAGAAAAAAGAGTTGGGGCAGCTCTCGTTTTGCTCTTTAAGCTAAGCGTACTTGATGTTATTGTAGGTGAGGGTTCCTAAATGTACAGTCATTTGTACAGGACATGACATAACAGAACAGAACAGAGCAGGACAGGACAGTTGTTCATACACACAATTGCTATCTCAATGTATTTTCTTTGAAACGTAAAAATTTATTAAATAAAACACTATCTAAACAAAACATCACACGTAACATTTACTACTATGAAATATTACTTATATATTCTATAAACGTAGTTATCAGTGTTTTTAATAAAACCGTTTAACATTTGTTTAACTAAGAACGTTCAACGCTTTTAAAGATATCATTATATGTTTCTTACACCAACATATTTTTAACGTGACAAAATTACTATATTTTTGATATTTTTTTCCCTGTAATTATTTATTTAAAAAATGAACGTCAATTTCTATATGTTACATAAATTTGTAAATATATTTTGGGCTTAAATATAGGGTCCAATTACAACATATTATAGCGTGTTATAATAACTTTATAAGAAAATTTAAAAATTATTTATTTATTAATCCAAGGGTCGCAATTTCATGATAAGGTCAATGAACAAAATTCTATATAGAAGATTGCCAGATAGAAGAAGACACGAATAAAGATTAAATTAAACATGTTGTGACAATTATATTAATAAAAGTAATAGAGCTAATTTTTAATCTACTAAGTAGAGAAAATAGATGTCTTGCTTTGAATGTTGTCATGTACGTATGCATACTACATATTTTTTAAATGTTGCTCTAATTGGATCATTAGTTGAAATAGTTAATGCGTTTTCATTTGGTGCCAAACATTCAAGATAACCAAAAACTTTTAAGTCAACATTTAGCATTATATGCACCAATATTTTATCATCAATCCACCCTCTAGAATGTGATGGTGGATGACATCTTTTATACTCTATATGTAGCTCCAACTACTTGTTGATTATATATATATATATATATATATATGTGTGTGTTATATTCATGTATTAACTCTGTATTATATGAGAAATGTAAGATCCATTCATAACCACACATGTTGTGATTACATATTGTGATTACTTATATAACCTAAACTAATGTGTATTCTATTTCAATCATGGTAATTAATTCATAATGTTAATACATGTTGCTCCAAGGCATCAATGTTTTATATTTCAAACATTAAACCTAAATATAGTATTTCACATTGTGCTTACTCACTGGACTCATGTTAGGTCTCATAGTTTTCACAAATAATTGGGTTTTTATATGATTACCACCCATTTATATATATATATATATATGAGAATGTTCAAATTTAAAAAACAAAAAGGCTAAAAATATACAAATAAATAATTCATATGTAAATCATTGATATAAATTTAAAAAAAATGTATATGTGAATTGATGTTTAATTTCGTTATGATTTTGCACATGAATCATTTATTTATACGTTCTTAACTTCGGTCTTTCTTGTCTAAACTGGTTTCGTATTGGCCTAAAGTAGTTTGTAGAGTTAACACAATTGGATGGTTGACAAAAGATCCGTTGTATGTGTGTGTGTGTGTGTGTGTGTGTAAAGGGAGAGGACGAGAGAGAGAGAGAGGAAGATCTTTTATTAACCAAAAGAATGGTGTTAATTTTGTAAACTTATTAAATCAATAAGGTTCATTTTTTAATCATGGTTACTTCAAATGTTAGATTCAATAATCAAGGGTAAATAGGTAATTTTTAGTTGTTAAGTTACTTTATTATACTAAATGGGATGTTACAAAAAAATAATTAGGGATCATAATTATATTATCTTTTTCAAGATTCTAAAATGATTACGTTTAAAATTCATTTGAATAATGGATAATCAAAATGAAGACAATACCATTCGACATATTGATTAAGATGATTTCTTTGTTTTTGGTATTTTGAATATTATGGAAGGATGTATCGTGATAGATAATTATCTGTCATCAAACTCACCATTGATGACCGAATATATTGAATCCCATGACATTAACCTTGAAGTTTTTTCAAATAAAAATGGAAGTAGTTGGTCTTGTGGAGCGGGTTTTTCAGCAATATGATTATAATTGGTTGAATTAGGTTTGTATGATTTGTATAAATGATTTGTTTCGCATTTGATCCCTCCACATAACCCTTCCTATTCTTACAATCTATACAACCTCATCTAAAACCGTCCACTTTTTAATCTTTTTTTTTTTTTGGTTTTTTTTAATTAAAGTATTTTTCAACTATTCAAATGATAACCGTTGATGAAAATAATCGATGGTTAACATGTAGTTGAATTGATTGTAACAATTAGAGAGATTGTATAATAAACCATCCTCTCTCTTTTTAAATACATACATATGTATGTATGTATGCATTTAGAAAGTGATATTTTATTGTTTCTTCATTTACGCCCAAATGTAATATTTAAACTCATGAAGTATTAAGTATACACATTGTATTAGAAGGAAGTTTTGGTTTAACAAGATTTTTAAAACCATTTTTGTACATCAATAATTGCTGATTTTTCTTAACCTTTAATTTTAAACATGATTAAAACTAGTATGGCATCGAATATCATTGTATATTTACTTTTATCAAAATTGTTTCATCGTTGTAATAAATACTAAACTTTTGAAATACTTCAAGATTTATAGAACAATTAGTGTTTATATAATTTGACCTTCAATCTTGATAGTAAAATATGAAACGTTAACTACAAGGATGGTGCCTGATTGGTTTGAGCTTGACTCCAAAGGTCAAAAGTATAGGAGGTCTCAGGTTCAAATCCAAGGAGGAATAAAAATCCTCTTGTGACCACGGAGGTTCAAATACGGTGACTACGAGCTATCTGCAAAGCACGTGGTCACCCTAAGATTAGTCGGCTCGCATAGCGGGTTGGATATCCAGGTTAATAAAAGAAAATAAAATGTAAATCATAACAGCGAATAGGCTCCACTCTTCCCTGAATAAATAAGCCCCCTTATAAATTATGGCATTTACATGATTGGGATTTTGTTTACATTCAGGATTGTTGGCTTGTTGCTATCAACTCACTATAACTTATTTAAATTCTTGAAAAGTACAAACTATAAGAAAACAAAATATTTCAAGAAAAAAGAACAAAACAAATAGACTTTAAATAAGCCATATATATATATATATATATATATATATATATATATATATATATATTAACCGTTAATTGTCAATAACCGAATCAACCAAATAAACTCTATTCTTCAGGAGTTGTATATACAAAGTTATAGATCACTCTTGGCTCGTTTTAGTTTCAAATTTTCAATCGTTTATATTAAATTAATCTATACTTGACAATAATTAATTTTACAACAACTATTGTATTATTTGATTTTTCATTCACATTTGAGTCGACCTTCCATATGGAATGTCGTTTATTCTTTTTTATTGTAATGATAGACGTTGATTTAGTTTTCTTCACCATAACATGTTAGAAAGTAGGGTCGTAGAAGGAGAAAAGTACAGCAAATATGTGGTTAGAATGTGAAGGATCATTATCCTTAGAATATTATATATTAGCCCTCACAATCAAGGTTGTTTGGGTTAAAATCAACCTCCATCAATTATCTAATCATAAAGATATATTCAACAACTAAACATATCGTCCATGAACATTTATGTAGAATTTCAATGAAGAGAGGAGGAAGATGGAGAGATCATAATATGATGAAGTGATTACACACACACACACACACACACATATATATATATGTATATATATATATGTAAATATCTATATAGGTTTGTGTTTGTAACTGATTGTGGATAAGTTAAAACTAACATTTGAATTCATCCAAATCAGAAAACCATGAAAAAACTGTTACAAAGAATTCGTAACAGTGGGTAAAGCGATTTTTCTGGCGGGTTAAGTCACCTAGAAAGTCACTAGAAGCACTATCCAATTTAACGAATTTTCAGAATCTGGCGCAACTTCTCAAGCGACCTAAGTCGCATGGAGACTCTCTTGAAGCTCTGTTTCCAAACATAAGAATTTGATTTTTGGAAAATCACACATGCACAACATGCTAGTGCTATCTCTTGACAGTTTTATGTATGTGTAAAATTCACACAACAATGTCAAATCCTCCTTAGCTCACTTGATCTATTAATTAAACAACTCTATAAGTTGTTTAAAGATTATAAACTAAGAAAGAGTTTATCACTCCATCAATGTAGGATAAGTGATATGCCTAAAACTCATATATATAGTTCATCAATACAAGTAAGATTATATTATTCTTTCTATGTGGGACAAAACCTCATAATGAATCTCACTATGAAGACTATGTATACAACAATTCCCCACTTAGTCTTCATTTAATAAAATGAATTATGCATAAGTAAAAGTATCTTTCAATTTGAACTTTAACTTAGTGTAAACTACTCAAAATTCTAACTAAATCTATGGTGTCTTATAGCTTTTGAGCCAAGATTTATATATTAAAAATGCAATAATCACATACACAATTGATTATCAAGATATGTTCATAAACATATAGCACCATCATGGCCCTATGCTCATCCTAGATTCATGAACAGTTAAAAAAGTTGACCTACACTTTTCTTAGAAAAGGCAACGCCTCTTATGTTTATATACGTAAAATTCATCAAAAACTGAATTTCATTAAGAGTTTAACACTCACCCTAATAACATGTACTAGATCTGACTAGTATGAGCCTAGTTGGAAATCAACAACTTGTTATTATCACATTGAAGTTTTATCTAAGGGTATACTTAGAAAAGGTCGGGTTTCCATTGTTGCCAACTAATCCAATAGGTCTCAATCCCTTTTTTTCGACTTGTTCCAAATACCATATCTTTTGAGAGTCCTTTGGTAAAAGAATCAACTAGATTATTACAACTTGTTATATACGTAACTGTT